GGGGCAATGCTGACACGATATATGAAAGTAAAAAAGTACAGTTATATTGCTACTCAAACAAGAGCCAATACAAGAGCAATGGTGTGCTATGCACGCGATATATGAACGCAAACAAGACAACGTGATTCAAATCACTCATTCTAAAGAGCCAAAAATCATTTTTTGATAATCACAAATAACACAAATTTTTGGGCTATGAAAAAGGTTACAAACCTTGCTCGCCTCTGGTAAAAAGTGGTTTCCTTCTTCAAAACGAAACTGCATAAATTATTGTACCACATTGTCAAGCTTTTCAACGGGAAAAGAAAAATTGTATAATTGTCTAAAGTAATAAACGCATCATACCTGTACTCATCACTAAATCCATATGCAAATATAACATCAGAGAAGTTCTCTAATACCTTAATAGCACAAGCATTCATCAAGTTCAAGGCTTTTTCATCATTCGGCTTCTCAAATCCCTGCTTCTCCGAGAAACTAGACATATACAATGCAAATTAGCAAATCAAACAACCCCAAGAAACCCAAAAAGGAATACTTTTTCTCTAGCAGTAAGAGTTTATTCACAGTATCTACAAGACCAATTGACAAGAATCACCACTCTAATTCCGCATCAGCATTTAACTTGAACACCGACCTATACTTCAATAGAATTTTAACTGTAGATCTCTTGATTTCAACACCTTTACCTTAATCACTAAGTTAAGGCTTCATATATCAAGAAGAAAAGAACATAACAAGGCACATGCACACCACAAATATTGCATTACCTGCCAAAATCGCGGCCATCAATTTGAACAACAATGATATTTGGGTACATTACTTCGTCTTCTGCCTCAAAACACTTTACGTATTCATACTTGCTGTTCGCCATTCCCAGATGCCGCTACAATTGGATTGAAAGAAAAGATTTATGTTTAAGTTATAAATGTCCCGGGAAACCTATTTTTTCTCATTTGAATTTCAGTAAACCTATGTGGCGAACCTAGTTTGCCAGTACCTATCAACCATTCAGCGACCTCTCTTTTTAAAAGTTACACATTGTCTACTGAGTTTGACAAGCTCGAGTCTAAGAGCTATTTCAAATTTAAAACTATATTAACAAGTCCTTTAAAATCACACCAGGTTATAGAGAATTCTGAAAAGCATAAATGCGCGAAGGTTTGCATTTGGAGGTCAACAGTCAAAACGCTCTCCACCAAGAAAACAAATAATAGCATGTTTAGCCAAGCTGGAAAATCTGCTTATTTTGAGAGGTGCTTTTTCCAAAAGTGCTTTTTGAAAAAGTACTTTTGGAGAGAAGCAGTTTGTGTTTGGCTAGTCAATCTGAAAAGAACTTTTGAGCAATAATTTGTGTTTGGCCAAGCTTTTCAAAAAGTGCTTTTAACTATCAAATTACGAATAAGGACATGAAGAGATTTACTTAATAGTTAATATTATATGAGTAAATAAATAATCTCAAATGTTTATTATTAAAGATAATATAAGTTTTTCATTTTATTTAAGTAAAATATGAAAAAAAAAATTAAAAAGTACTTTAATTCTTTCAAGATGATTTAAATATATCAAAAAATCATTTAACAAATATAAAAGCATTCATCCCAAAAGTTACCATATATTAGAAAGCTATCCTAAAAATAAAAAGAAATATTTATACATTAAGATAGTTCAATAATATAATCTCTAATTCTAAGTATTAGATTTAAAATAAGTAAGGTTATTTTGATATATATCATATTTTGTTAAGGGTATTTTTGGTAAGAATAAAAGCCAAAACTGCTTATAAGGAGAAACTATTTTTTTCTACTTCTCTGAAACTGCTTCTGCTTCTTCCCAAAAGTACTTTTTTCCCCAAAAAAGTTTGGCCAAACACCTCAAGTTGAGGAAAAAAAGTACTTTTTGAGAAGAAAAAAAAAAAGCATTTTTTGGTGGGAGAAGCTTGGCCAAACCGTCTATAAGGTAGACTAATCAATCACTGTTCAAAAAAAGTATCATTCACAATCACATAGAAATTTATCCATCATTCTCTTGGAAAACCATGCCCTCCTCTATCACCCACACATACGCCACTAAAAATTCTACAAGGCCATCCAGAACCAAAGATATCAGTCTACAATTTTCAAAACAAGGTAGATACACATGAATTCTTTTATGCAAAACTGCAAAACGATCAAATTGCCCATAGAGCAGTAAAATAAATAGCAAGGTTTTTCTTTCGGATTGCAACTTGTAAGTAAACAACAAAATTACATTAAGCAATAAAGTAATGAACTAAACATTAGCATCTGAGTGCAAATTAACTACTTCCAGAGATATTACGACAAAAAGTAATTCCCAAAGATGAAAACTTTAAACTTAACACACACACGCACTCTTTAGCTGAGGTTTTAATATACCAAATACAACAAAAAGTAAAAGGGAACCAATACCCAGGAAAAAAAGAGAAAAAATTGAACCTGTATTACATTTGAATTTAGATAAAAAAAATAAAAATACTACCAGAACCTGACACTACTTCGCCGGCGGACGGTTGACGGCGGTTGATAACTTGAAGTACCTCTGTCTTTCTTATTGGTTGATTTATGCGCTACAGGGCTGGTGCTCTTGTGAAGGTGAATGGGTGGTGACAAAGGCAATGGAAAGAGGAAGAGAAGAGAAGGGGGGTAGGTTGAGGGGGGAGAGAAAGGGGATTTGATCCTAAATTATTGGGATTTAAGCATTTTTAATTTTATTTTATTAATTTAAAGCGGCTATAAAATAAAATCTCAAGAGATACAAAATACGCCATTTTTGGAGATTTCAATTCTCACTCCAGCAACTTGAGCTTCAAAAGCTAAAATGGCTCCGTAAAAAGTCACACACTCACACTCATGTTTATTCCTATTGGTGTATTTGTAGAAAGAGAAGTGGAGGCGCACCGTTTCAAACCCTCGGAATGGTATATGGTCGATTAAGCACTGCTCCCTGTGTTCAATTCGTCTTGGCGATATATAATCAGAAGATATATGAACTCTTCTCTTTTGTTTTTTTGGGTTTTAACCATCACCTTTTGCTCAAATATTCTTTCTTCCTATATAAGAAGTGCGAGTGAAGCTGCTCAAGCAGACATCACTTCGTCACATCCCTGCTTAGCAGTGGAGGATGTTTTGGGTAATTAATGTGAGAGACTTGTTTTGATTGGTTCACGTTATTTAGTAACTGTAGTTACTGGGTATACATTTTGATTGTGCAGACTTTCTTACCCTTTGAAGGCCCATGTTCATCATGATTACAGTGGGCCCATTGTATATTTACCTGACACGCCAACATCTGAGTTGCGTTTTAGACACAGCTATTGGACATTGTATAGGTGTCCTCTTATTTTGTACTTTAATTAATTATTACTCCCTTCATTCCACAATAAGTGTTTAATTTGCTTTTAGCACGCCCATTAAAAAAAATACTAAATTCCATACAAAAATATATACTATGACTAAACTACCCCTAATTAAACATTTAATATGAGGAGTAAGAAAAGTTTTTAGGGATATGCACATAGAGATTATTTTGTAAAAACAAATTGAATTCTTTCTTGATTACATAACTGGACACTTATTTTGAACCAAAATGAAAAAGCAAATTGGACACTTATTGTGAACCGGAGGGAGTATAATTATTAATACTCACTGAAGTTTTGCACATAGAGTAACTTCCATATGGCATCCTTCTACACTTCCACACATGCTTTTCAAAAACGTGTAGCACATGCTCCATGTAGTCCCATTCTATAGAATCATAAGCTTTTTTCATATCCACTTTTAACATGCATCTAGGAGATGTACCCTTCCTGCCATAACCTTTAACAAGCCCATGGCTCATTATTATGTTGTCATTGATCAATCTCCCTGGGACAAAAGCTGCTTGACTTTCATCTACAATATCATTCATTATGCCTTGCAACCTATTTGTTAGAACCTTCGAGATAATCTTATAGAGTATGGTGCAGCAAGAAATTGGCCTGAAATCTGAGACTCTATTTGGATTTGGTATCTTAGGAATTAAGGTTACCGTGGTGCAATTGATTGGGTGATATAGTTTGTCTTCAGAAAAGAACTGCAACACTGCTTCAGTTATCTTCTCCCCAACTACTGGCCAAGCTTTTTTGAAAAAAAGTGCATTAAAACCATCACAACCTGGTGCTTTGTTGTCACTTATCCCCATCAGTGCTCTGTATATTTCCTCCTTTGATACATCTGCTATCAACTGCCTCTGTTGTTGTCTGTTGATCAGTGGCCCTTCTCTCATTATTGCTGGATTAATAGTTGGAAGTTTTCCAGCTGCTGATCCTAGTAACTGTTTGTAGAATCCCATTATCTCATCTTCCACCTCATGTTTTGTCTGTGTCACTGTTCCATTGCTTTTTGTTAAGTTCTAAATCTTGTTTTGGGAGTTCCTGTTCTTCATGCTTGCATAGAAATAGGCATTATTGCCATCTCCTAGCTTTAACCATTGTATTCTTGATTTTTGTTTTAGAATACTTTCCTCCACCCTTAGCCATTTCTCCAATTTCAATTTTAACTCTTTTTCTGCTAAAATCATACTTTCTGGTTGACCAGGTTTTCTCATTTGCTCTTGCAGAATGCATAGTTGCTCCCTGCATTCTGTGATCCTTCCTCCTACAGCATTATATTCATCAGCATTCAATTTCTTCATGGCTTACTTCACCTTTTTTAGTCTTTCCCAAACATCTCTCATTTTGTTATATGTGCTACTTCCTTCCCAAGCTTTGCTTACTATCTGCATAAATTCCTTATGATCAGCAAGATGGTTCAAGAACTTGAAAGGCTTAAGCCTTGATTCTTCTTGTCTTCAAATGTAATGCTCAATGGTGAGTGATCAGAACATCCCAGATCCATTACCCATATCTCTAGGTGAGGCATTTTCAGCATCCACTCAGCATTAACCAATGCCCTATCAATCCTACTGTATGTGTGACCATTTGTCCATGTGAAGCTTCTTCCATTAGTCCTCAACTCAGCCAAGACAGCATCCTCCACAAAATTATTAAAGTCCTTCACTTCCATCTCTTGTACAGGATTCCCAATTGGCCTATCCTCCCTAGACCTTATGGCATTGAAGTCCCCCATGATTAGTCATGCCCCATGTACTTTGCCATTGACTTGCAGTAGATCCCTCCACAATTTTCTCCTGTCCTCCATAGTATGCAATCCATAGACTGCTGTGAATTCAAACCTCACATTCATGTTCTTGATAAAGATTGCAGCATGAATGAATTGGTATGTCTTCTCTATCACCACACATTCCACTTCCTTACCATCCCATACTAACCAGATTCTCCCTTTACTACTGTGCTCATAGTTAGCTAGCCAATCCAACCTGTAGTGATCCTCCTAATTATTTGACTAGCTTTTTGCTCCTTCACTTTATGTTCTAGTAATGCCATCATACTAACCTTTTACTTCTTATAAACTTCTTTATCTCCTTCTGTCTTGGAGTCTTGTTCAGACCCCTAATATTCCATGTTATCACCTTCATACTGGAATGAATATAGCATGTGAACACCCTTCTACCTCCTCCTGCCTCCTTTGTCTACTCGAGCCTTCCCCCAATTGACTTGGGTGCTTTAGTTGTAATCCTGATTCTGCTAGTATATTAAAACCATTGATGGTATTAATTGCATCCTCCCCCATTTTCTCCTTGTTTCTAGCTATAGACTTCCCTGTTGCTTTTGTCCAGCTCTGCTCCCCCTCTCCACAATCAATCCTTGCATTTGAGTCATCAGTTTTACTGGTTATCTCTTTAGTCATGGTCAGTTGGTTGCTCTTGACAGGTACTGATATTTGTTGATCTACCTTGTCATTGCTTCTTTCTTTTGGTAGCCACTCTTGCCTCTGCTTCTGCTGTTTTAGCTTATTCTTTTGCATCTGTTGTTCATCTTTTCCACAGCTATGCCCAATTTGCCTACAATTCTGGCAGAATTCTGGCACCCAATCGTAGGCTACTCTTTGGCTAAATTCTCTTCCATTTGGATCTGTTACTTTGATGAATTTTGGGAGTTCTTTTGTTATATCCATCTCAATCAAAACTCGCGCATAGGTAATTCGATCCAACTGAGTAGTACAAGCATCAGCATACAATGGGATCCCTAATCCACTGCTAATTCTGCTTAGAGATCTAGCTCCCCAGCAGTTCAAAGGGAGATTTGGAAATTTCGCCCACACTGGAATGATTTGCAGGATCTCCTTGCTGAAATAAAAATTCTCCGACCAGACCTTCACAATCATCGGTTTAGTACCTAGCATATGTGGACCAGAGTACAATACTTCATCCCTATCCTCCATTGAATTGAACCTTACAACGAAATATCCCTCATTATGATAGTAGACCTTAAGTTTAGCAGTAAAATTCCATTCCGCCGCGATGAATCGCTCCATAGCTCCAATTGTTGGTGTAATTCCAACTACATAGAGAATTAAAGCTTGCTTCCCTTGTCTCTTCTTCCACTTATTCTTTACATAATTCCACAATTACTTCTCCATTTTTTATAGTCGGCGCAATGAAATTTAGATCCATACCTTTTGACGCCAATTTGTTCCCTGCAAACAATTTTGTCCAATTCTTCTGGTTCGTCACTTTAGTTACAGCTGGTACTTCGTTTTTGTTGTTATCAGCTTTCGATTTACTCTCATTTTTTCCTTTAGCATCACCAGCTTCTTCCGAGTTCCTCACGATCTCCCCTAATAGCTGAGTTATTGCTGTTGGCATGTATGTCATTTTTCCCTGGTTATATCCTCCAATTTGTACTTGAGCAACAGAATTTACTTTCGCATTCTCGATCATCACTACAGGACTCGTTGCATGCAGTGTTTTCATAGCTTTCATTGCATGGGTTTAAAAAGTTTTTCCCCAGCTATGTCGTATCCGGTACTTTGATATTAGCTCGGGCTTACAAAATGGTAAAATATTACAGCACAATCGAAAAAAATAAGTTGCGCCGAGAGAATATTAGGCAAGAATAATATTTTAAGAAATTATTATTTCATTATTTTGGCATTCAGATTGCGATTAAGTATGACTCTATACTTCTTTCAACGCTTTAGAGATGCCAATAAAAAATTGTAATAAAGCAACATTATTTAATAGTGTCAAAGGCATGTCCTAGATCATTCAAAAAGTGTTCTTAGTTGAAAAAGGTAATGTTCATTGTGTTAGCTTTAGAGATACCATTTATAAATTTACACACAATATTAATTTGCACATGTCAATACCCTTTGGAATTATTACTACTCGAAACTGAGAACTTGACAAAGTTTCGCCTTGGAATACGAATGAAGTTTGGGTTAAAGCTGGTTGTCATGTGTCTAAGGATGTATTGATCCTTGTAGTATAGAACTTTGTATCTTGGTAGCTTGCCCTCTGCAGTTTTCCTTCTTGAATACCTTTCCATATCCTATAATGGAGACAAGGACATAAACTTAAATTTTTCTTACTTGAAGAACGATAGTAACTGAGGGTAGAGTGGACCATTGGACATGCCTACTTACCCACTTCAATGTCATATTGTAGTTTGTTTAATTGCAGCTATACATACTTATAGTTATAGGAACCTAATATGAATAAATCTTGCAGTTCTTATTTAGCTAAATTTATTGTTTTTTCTTTCATATATTCCAGAACCAATTGGTCATGAAATAAGCACTCTATTTGATGGTTCATTTTTATCTTGACTAAAACTTATTATTCTTGTTATTGGTTTGGGTTTAGTAGGTGCTAATAACATATAATCCTTTGCATGCTATGAAACTCAAGCTCATTGGTTTCAAAAGTTCTTTTTAGGTATTTTGTTGTGATTCTATAGCTGGGTTTCTATGAAACACAGAGCATAAAGATCAAAACAATTTGTTCATCTTCATGACTTCCGTGACGTTCTTCACTGATCCGTTTTGCTCTTTCAAGGTAAGCGCATAGTTAAAAAAGTTAGTTTGCTGATCTATCGTGTTGGGTCTTTTATTACGGCTCTATTGTTTGAAAGTTTATAAGTTTGACTTCACTGAGCTTCAATAAACTGATAATCAGACTGTAATCTTTAATGTATAACCTGTAAATTATAGAGCTTTGATTTTCTTCATTCTTTGTCTCAAAGTAAAGATTTGGATAGTCTGAGTTGTTTAGTTAGCCTTTCTGGTTGGGTATAAACAAGAGTGTATGAATTGCTCAAATTAAAATAAACACTCAGGACCAAACTACTATTTCTGATTACTATCTTAAAGTATCACACCGCCATCACCAGATTCAATAGCTGCTCCTGTTGTACTAGGGGACAATGTAGGAGGACGCTCGTGTATAATATATGTCAGTTAGTAGCCATGTTGTTGGAACGTTAGAACTTTGCTCATATTTAACTTATGTCTCCTTCTTGCTCATTGATATATTTCATATATCTTACTTCTGCACTTTTATCATTGGAAGAGATAATATTTTCTATTTTAGACAATCAACACCTTTGAAAACAACTAACAGTTTTCATTTACTCTATCAAGACCTGCTATTCATCTATTGGTCGAGCAAGATTCTCAAAGCTTGCAGTAATTACTTCCTGAAATTACTGGTTGGGTTTATTGTCTGGATAATGACCGTGTATGTATTCAGTTACATGTTTAACCTGCATCTTTAGAGTTGCTTAGTTATTTATACATAATTATTATCTTTATATGTTGCCGAAGCTGGACTGACTCAATAAATTTCTTGAGCACATGTGGCCTTATCTGGACAACATACTCTCCATTTCTTAACAGTGTTTTGAATTTCCTTCTCATAGTATCTTAGGTAACTAGCTTGTGTAAATTATTCTGTATAATTAGGTTATTTGCATGACTGCAAAAAGTATTGTGCAGCTATTATTCTAGAGCAAAATTTTGAATTATCCAATTTGGGTTCCTTACCTACTTTCCAAGCTTAGTGGTTCTTAGTGTCCATAACTAAAGTTAGTTGGTGTTTTTATTTTCAGATACTGTTTCTGCTTGCTAGACATTAAACTATGGCATAAGATACAGAAGATGTTATTTCTTACCCGCATTCTTTCCATTTGTATTGTAAAAAAATATTAGATGACAATTGTTAAATGGCCTTGATGTTTTCATTTGGCAAGTAAATTTTCTGCTTAAGAAGACATATCAGTTATGTAGGATACTTTATAGTTGCTCCATTTGTTAGCTGAAGTTCATACTCATATAAAACCGTCAAGGATTTTACACTCAAACTAGCTATTGCTGTTGTTTAGACACATAAGAAGAGTTTTTGATAAGTCACTTGATTAGTGCAAGTTATGGACGAATTTGACTGCATTGAAAAGGTCCAGTTAGTAAAGCTTATTCCTTTGACACAAAGATACAAACTCGCCAACTAAAAGGTCTTGTACAAATAAGAAGGAATGGCGAAAGGCGAGACAAAGGAGTTAAAAGTATAATTTTCCAGTAAACTAAGAGTCCTCTGATTTTAACTTGATTTAGGAAAAAAAGTCTTTGAATATATTGACTGACGTACTTATGGATAGTCTTCTCATATAAAGGTTTTCCTGTTAGTATGTGTTCTCTATATGACGAGTTCTTTGCGAGATACAATTACATGCTTTTCCTGAGAAGAAATGGTTTACATCTAGAAATATTAATAGAGGTGGCATGTACTAGCTAGCCTTCTTGAGATATAGTTTTACCAAGTTCATTAAAGTTATCAAATGTAAATTGGTATGCTCCTTCGCTCATTATCAATACTTGTATTTACATAAGTTATGCTATTCATACTAATATTTTAATAAAGTTTCACTTGATTCTACTTCAACAATATTGTTATCAACTCATTTTTGAAATAAAAATGATCATAAACATTTTCATGGATACTCCTTTTAACTCTGTGCAGATCAACTAGGCTCGCACTTTTTGGATACAAGGTCTTTCCTTTATGATGATTTAGTTCTCAACACGCTCATTTCGATCTACTTTTTGACGAACTTATATGATATTGAAAACTGAAATTTAAAAGTCGAAGGATAAAGAACTTTATGCGCTTTGCTTTTTGGGTCCTTGCAGATATTGTCATTGTACATTTATTTATAATGGTAGTATTTTTTATATTTCTCTTTAGTACTTACAAAAAATCATGACAAAGAATTTGAAAAATTAGTGAAGCCTCTCGTAAGAGAAAGTTAAAATGTTACGGTGAGAATCAGAAGTAAAACCAATATACTTGCATTGACCATGAGTTCGAATCAATTAAGCTCTTATAAGGCATAGGGTTATTTGAGACATACCAAATTCAACACCGGAAGGCTGTTGTTCAACGTCGACGAACGAAATCGCACTCCGTCTCGAGCAAAAGCTACATGTCTTGGGTGATTGATACTGAAATCCATCTTGATGTGATGGTTCTGGTAGACACCATCAAGGACAAAATCAAGCATCAAACCAAGACCGTGCTAAAGCAATGATATTCCTACGCTATCACCTTGATGAGGGCCTGAAAATGGAATATTTTACTGTTAAAGATCCAGTCATACTGTGGAATAATTTGAAAGATAGATATGACCACCAGAAGATGGTCGTTCTTCCACGGGCACGTTATGATTGGACTCATCTAAGGCTACAAGATTTTAAATCTATCAGTGAGTATAATTCTGCTATGTTCAGAATTATTTCCCAATTGAAATTATGTGGTGATAATATTACTGATCATGATATGTTGGAGAAACCTTTCACCACTTTTCATACCTCGAATATGCTCCTGCAACAGCAATATCGAGAGATGGGATTCAAAAAGTATTCTGAACTTATCTCACATCTCCTTGTAGCCGAGCAATATAATGGGTTATTAATGAAAAACCATGAAAGCCGACCTACTGGTTCTTATCCATTCCCTGAAGTGAATGAGACGAACTTCCACCAAGCTAAGCATGGAAGAGGTCGCGGACCCAGTCATGGTCATGGCCGTGGTCGTGGAAGAAACTGTAATCATGGTAATAATAATGCACCAAGGAACCCTCCTCACCACCAGCAAAGGAAAAGGAAGGAACAAAAGCATGAAGAGGTGCAAGCACCAAATGCAGAAAATGCATGCTATAGATGTGGAGGAAAATGACACTGGTCACGTACTTGTCATACGCCAAAGTACCTGGTTGAGCTTTATCAAGCCTCCGTAAAGAAGACAGGGAAAAATGCTGAAGCAAATTTTATTTCTGAAGATAATTTAGACTTCATGCATTTGGATATGGCTAATTACTTAGCATTCTCAGAAGGAGAAAGAAGTCATGTGATCGGTGGTGAATCTGTAGAAATGTAAATATTTTAATTTTTGTTGTTTGTAACAGATAGTATGGTTATGTAATTGTTGTACATAAATAAAAGTTATGATTTGATAATGATGTTTACTATAATATATTTTATTTATGTCATTTTGAAGAATATGGATAACATTATTACATCAACTTAAACAGAGTTTGCAAGAAATATACAATCACCAGAAGTGATTATATTTCGTATATATCATTGTAACTAAATTTTGTTAACCACCAGAAGTGGTATATGCCTATGATCACCGGAAGTGATAATTTAGGCATTCTATGGTTACAATTGAAGGTAAACTACATAAATATTCTCTATATTAAATGCACGCCTCGATTTGCTCTTGAAGTAGTAAATATTTTAAAAGAGGTAGAAGCATCACAACTTGATGTGATTAATGCGCGTTCAGATAATTATGTTCGATTTCCTGAAGGATGAGAACTTTTGATACTATTAATCCATTTTCCGAAGTGAATGTGACAATATTAATAAATATCATAAATATGAACGCGCTCTTGATGTAAATATATTACAATTCACCTCAAGAAGAGGTAATATAATTGAGAGAATATATACTCAATATTTCGTATTTTAAATTTGCTCCTGAAGAAGTAACACAATTGAAATTGCCTCCTGGAGTAGGAAAATATTATGAAGAGGAGTTTTCTTGTGCTTATACAATTGTTTTACATTGTTTATTTGATTGTGATTTTCTCTCGTGATATCAGAAGTGTCTGAGCAATATTTGATAGTACAAAATGTATCAACAACTCCTAAAGAGCTAACTGTTTGCCTAGAAGACGCATGTCACCAGTAGTGTCCGATAAATATTAGATTGTGGATAATAAATGAAGGTTATCGAAGAGCTTATATACAAATATGTCATTCATATTATATGATTATGGTCAAACATATGTTGTATTAAACCTGAAGTTTACTAATAAAGATGACTATCATATTGAGATTACAAATGACTGGAGGATTGAAAATCTTTATGTTTCCACAATTATAGGGGGTAAAATAATATGTATGTGAGAAGTTACCCGCCTTATTCTTCAATTTATATTATATCACGTATCACAGTAAATCAGAAGTTTACTAATGCAAAAGCAGTCACGGTAAACCAGAAGTTTACTAAGAGATAGCACATGCATGATAAACTTGAAGTTTTCATTAGCCATTTTTGAATGAGCTATTTAAGAATTCATATAAGCATATATTGAAGAACTAGAACATTATTCAAGAATTCTCTTATGTTGCTTGTTCTCATAATAAATTTATTAAACCAGCTAAAGTTGGGACTAAGACCCCTAAATTCTGAAATATATAAAAGGTGAATATGGGTCCATTCACCTGTCGTGTAAACCACTTATAGATGCATATATGAGATGGTTACATGTGTGATTATTGTCAACCTGCAGTTTGGCATTTGAATTGCTTTTCTCAAATAAGAGAATGATTTTTAGATTATGAAATCAAGACAGTTCATCTTGATAGTGCTGGTTTATATCGAGGTTGGTTAGCATTGAATACCTCCTATTAATGGCTAAACTATTGCTTATGAGAACAAAGTTTTATGTGTTGGTCTAAGATTTTTCAAATTGCATACAGCAGCAGTTATATGCATCAGACCAACAATATATGATAAGTCCTCCCCTCACAATTGGTTTAGGATCAGAAACCAAATATTTTTACTATCTAATAACTTTTGATGCGTGGTATATGATTAATTTCTCTACCACAAACCACAAAGATAGGTTTCCCAAAAAAGACTTGGGATATATGTTAGTTTTCCTAACATTAGGGGGATGGAATAAACAGTTGGAAAATATGTTATATGAATCGAATTATCATTAATATGATCCTCACTTGGAAGATAATTCAAGTCAAATGGCATAAGCATTTGCTGATCCAAAATTAAATATCATATTTTAGCTGCAAATGCTCCTATTAAAATTAAAGTCCCAAAGGATAAAGTTTAATACACGCATGAAGCGTAGTAAATCGATGGGTTCCAAAGGTAACAATCCTTGAAAAATGATAGGAGCAAATGATCATAATGAGGAGGAAATGAGCTCTAGAAGAGCTCACGACATAACATTTCATGAAACTCCAGAAGAAGTTCAGGTACCTGAAAATAAAGAAAGTGATGAGATCTCAACATGTTATGGCGCTTAGGAACCGTTACAAAATGATCGTCGACGATATATTTGATACAATATAGTGCATAATATTATTAAAGATTGTGAGGATCGGACCTGTAGTCCAATCGTCCAGACACATGATGTCTTGCCATTTAAATGCAAGCCATAACCTATATGACTCATTTAATTAAATCTATATGAAGATTCCTGAAGGATTTAAAATACTTGAAGCATATAATTCAAAGTCTTGATGAATGTACTCGATCAAATTATAAAGATCTTTGTACGGTTTAAATCAATCCAGGCGCATGTGATAATCGCCTCAGTGAATATTTGCTGAAAGAAAGTTACATAAATGATGTTATTTGTCCATGTATTTTTATAAGGTTTCCTTCGCGAATTTTTGCTAAGTTCTCCATTTTTGAAGACGGGAAGTGAGTTAGGGCAGTGACTTTCAAGGGGAAATCGGAGGTTATCAGTCAGGTAAGCTACCTAAGCTTTTCAATACTTGAGTGTATGATCATTTTTCCATTATTTAACCGTGGTATTAGTGGAAATTAAGGAAGAAAATTGAGGGATTAGGGCTTGATATTGGAGAGTTTTGAGTGGTGATTTGGGGGACCAATTGAGGTCGGATTCTGGTAATTTTGGTATGCATGAACTCGTGAGAGTGTGAGGATTTTGAATTTGTTAGTTTTACCCGATTCCGAGACGTGGGCCCGAGGAGCATTATGGTCATTTTACCTAATTTCGCGTATTAGCTTAAAATTTATTTGTGGAATCAGTTACTTGAAGTTATATTTACATTATGCAATTGAATTGAATAGATTTGGGTCGTTTGGAGTCGAGTACTCGTGGCAAGAACGTGGTTTCGGGTTGATTTTTGAGCCGGTTCGAAGTAAGTAGCTTGCCTAACCTTGTGAGGGGGAACTCCCCTTAGGATTTGGTATCATTGATGTTTGAAATGCCTTGTACGTGAGACGACGAGTGTGTACTTGTGCTAATTGTTGAAACATCCGGTTTTCATTAAGTAATTAGAATTGTGTTTCTTTTCCTGTTTATACTACTTGCAATTTAAGCCTGTTGTTAGCTTAGGGAAGCATATCTAATTGACATTGCTTTACTTGCTCAAACTGCCTTATTTGGATTATGTGCAGCATGCTAGTCTAGAAATACCCGTTTTACCTTGGTATGGAATTTGAATTGAATTGTGTATTCTTCGTGTTGTTGCTGTGTGTTTACTTTGGGACTATGGGACGGTATCCCGGGAGGTCCCCGTACATGTTTAGTTTTGGACTACGGATTTGTATTCCGGTAGACCCCACTGTACATTTACATTGGATCTATGCGATTGCACCCGGTAGATTCCCCCCTGTACTGGATTTTTACATTTGGGACTACGGATCGGATTTCCGGTAGATCCCCGCACCTTATGAGTTGGACTACGGGACTGCACCCGTGAGATCCACTGGATATTTATATTTGGGGACTACAGGACAGTATCCTGGGAGATCCCCGGTTGTTATCTCTGCGTTGAGCTGTATTCCTTTCCGTGATTATTTTGTCTCTGTTAAAGTTGTTGTTGTTCCTCTATCCTGTGTTACTTCTTACTGTTGCACTTAAGTATACTGTCTTATTCTATACTGTTATACCTTGTAATTCCTTTAACCTCAGTAGGGCCCTGACCTTCCTCGTCACTACCAGACCGAGGTTAGGCGTGGCACTTACTGAGTACCACTGTGGTGTACTCATGCCCTTCCTGCGCATGTTTTTCATGTGCAGATCCAGGTACTTCGACTCAGCCCTACCATCCTTGAGTCGGGTGATCCATCAGAGACTTTGAGGTATGTCTGTCGCGTCCGCAGACCGAGGAGTCCCTTTCCATTCTCTCTCATAGCATTAGCCCTTCTGTATTTCTTGTTGTTTAGACACTCTGGAGTTAGAACACTGTAGTTATTCCACAACTTGTGATTTCATGAGATTCCGGATTTTGGGAAATATAGTTTCATTTTAAGAGTTTGTATGGTATTATTTTTGCAGTTTTGGCTAATTTTATTATGTTGTTTCCGTAATTTGTTAGGCTTACCTAGTCGTAGAGACTAGGTGTCGTCATGATAGTTCACGGAGGGCGAACTTGGGTCGTGCCAAAAATATATACAAATATTTTACAAAATATATACAGAAGACATTGTATAAAATTTGTATGAAAATTGTATGATGTTGTAGTTGTATTTAACTGGGTAAATGATGTATGAAAGTTGTAGATAAGTTATAAATAAGTTGTATACTATATAATTAGTTGTACAAAATTTATTTTTTAGTTTATATATTGTAGATATATCAAGTTTGTATCAAATTTGAATAAGTTGTATACTATATATCACGTCTCCCCTCTCACTATGAGAGACGTGATATATATCTTCACAAAAAATGACTTTGGATAACACATATGAAACTGTACAAATCATTTGTCACGACCCCAATTTCCCTCAGAATGATGTCGTGATGGCACCTAGTCTCTACGACTAGGTAAGCCTAACAAGTAACAATAACTGAGTAGATATAAATTAACAAGTCACTAAAAATAATTGAATAACAGATAAAAGCCTTTCGAAAACAAAATCTCACAATATACACCCCAAATTGGTGGAAC